ATCTTTGTATCTTTACATAAAAAAAACAATTAGTGAAAGTGAAATGAATTTTGCTGTGATCTCTGTTAAACTAATAAGTATTTACATGCTTTGAATATTTGTAATTTTTTTTAATGCACTAAAACCAGTAAAACTTGGCTACTGTTCTGTATTTCATGTTTTTGATTTTGTAGTTGGTAGATATATATTTCTATTATCAACTAGTATTTGATATTTTTCGTTGGTAAAATCTTTATTTAGCATATGGCTCAATTTTCTTATTTTGCACCTTTTTTTTTTTAAATTATTATCTGCATATTGCTGCTTTGAGCAGCTGTGATTTTTTTTTATGCTCTAAAACCAATAAATTTTGGGTATTATTTTATCTTTACGAGATATTTCCTGTTATCCTTTTATTACTGATTTTGATTTATAGGTGTTGTTTGTTAGTTTTATATAAATAATGTAATGTGTAATTTTTTTTTTTTAGCAATTTTGATTCATAGGTGTTGTTTGTTAGTTTTATATATCAATGTAATGTGTAAATATGATCATAGGCGCATCAACAAAAGATACTCTTCATCCATTCTCAATGTCAGAAATCTAAAGAGTCCTCTTTCTCTCTCTCTCTCTCTCTCTCTCTATTTCAACTCGCTGATGTATCAAAAATCTCATATGTAAGACCAAATTGAGGAAATAATACAGACTCCATTTGGCTTCAAAATGTCTTCAAGTGAATCTTGCATACCTTTTGAGGAGATTAAAATATTATGATATAATAATTTATTTTTTTAAAAAAAACTGATGTATGACATAGAGTAAGTTTGCAATTTGAAAGTCCATAGATAATCTGAAGTTCATATATGAATCCAAATGGGTTTATGGGCAACCAGGATGTATTTAAATGACTTCCACGATGAGCATGTTTGTTCGATACTAATGAGCATGTGACTTAGTGTTATGTGTCCTATAGAATTCAATCACCGTTATTAAAAATATTGATGATGTGTGAATTTATTTCCATTGGGCTCACTGTATTGGCGGGTATGTCTAGATACCATCATACTAATTATTAGAGAGTGACTGATGTATGTTTTTGTGAATTCCATTGATATACCAATTCAATTCAATAATTTTGTGGTCTGCGTCGGATTTTATATATAAGCCGAAAATACGCGGTGGATCCTCCCTTTTTTAACTGCACTCTTCATCCCTTACAGGAGGCTTCTTTCATTGCACTCTTTATCCCTCACAACCTCTGTTTCCTTATACCTCTACATTGTGCTGGGCTCTTTTGATCTCATGGCGGTATGTCTCTCCATTCTTTTTAAATTCTCTACTTTTCTAGGTTTCGTGGTTTGCTTCTCCCCCCTCCCTCCCTTCCTCTCAGTTTTTATCATTTTGTCTTTTTTTGAGGTTTGCTACTTGCCGTCTTCCCCCCTCCTTGTTTTTATCATTTTCTCTAGTTTTTGAGGTTTGGCCAAGTTTCGTGACTTTACTCCCCTCTCCTAATCTATCTGTGTGTGTTCTATTTTCTCCCCTAGCTTCTAGATCTCTCTCTCTCTCTCTCTCTCTCTTCATGTTCTATTTGCTTCCACCAGTTTCAAGGTTTCATGATTTACTACTTCATGCTTCTCTCTATCACACATTTCTACTGGCCTAAGTATTCCTCCAATGCTGCAGATTGAGAAGCTCCTTAAAGATGAGGCTACTGAGGAAAAGGGGGATCGGGCCAGAATGGTAAGTGTATTTTATGCTCCTTTTTTTTCTATGTTAAGAGTTCATTCTGATGTCTGCCTTTTTTGTGGAATGATCCATGGAGATATTGCCTTTTGGCATTTTGATGAGCCCTGTTAAGGCGTGTGACTTCTAATCGTAGTCCTAATGTGTTTAATGGCTTTGGTAAAAAATACAAAAGAAAGATGTCATTGAAGTTCTTTTCTTTTTTCTTTTTATTTGGGTAGGTAGTGTTTTTGAATTTTTGAGTGGTCAATATTTTCAAACTCCTAAAATGCATTAAGACTAGGTGGCAATGAACGCGACTCACTGGATCATTCTTCCCCTTTAATTTATGGTTTTTCTTTGATCCTAGAACTGTATATGTGCAATCCCAGGTATCCGCACATCTTTTTAAATGGCCTTGTTTTTTGTTCAGCAAGATGGGAATGCTGCGGATAGTAAATATTCCATATGAATATCTTAGGTTGTTATGCAGTGGTAGAGAGATGCTTGCACGCATGTTGCATGTAGGCATACGAGAGACACAAATATGGTCTCCTATAAGGATTATCAAACATCAATTCTTGAATATTTAGTGATGCTCCTGACAAAGTGAAGTGAATTCATGATTTGTATGTTTGTTAAGATTTTAATGGTCTTGTAGATTCGTTAAAGGAGTATATTTTGTATTTGTAACAGGAAAGATATTGAATAATGTACCAATAACTTTTTGTTCAAGGTTTTTCATTTTTTCTCCAGCACAAACTTATTGGCAAATTGCATTAGAGTTAAGTCAGCCCATAGCAGTCAAACCATGGATGAGGTTTATTTGGTGCTTTTGTGAAACCACATGTAGATTTCTCGTACCAAGAAGGATGCATATGTTTCTTTCATTTGATACTTCAACTACTAGGATATGACTCTTACGTTTTTGTCACCAAGAAGGATTCATAGCAGAACTCTTTGTCTGGATGACTAGTAGAAAAGGTTTCTGTGGTAATTGTCAGAAAACTAAAAAAATACACTTGTCAACAGGACTGCTAACATTATTACTGCTGTTGGGTTCTGTGCCTTTCCTAACAAACTTATCGGAATTTTGTTATTGTTATGTTGATTTTCCCATTCTGTGAAATTATCTCTTTCTTAGATGGCAAAGGAATATTCTATGTGCTTAGTCTCATTGGTACTGAAGGAAAAATAGGAGAAGAAATTGATTTACTTTGTGCCAACCTTAAACAACAAATTTCATGTCTTAAATGGTTTGCTTTGATTTACTTAGAGTTTGCTAATAAGCTTCACAAATTTTGTATCATTGTCCTTCAATGTCCTCTGCATTATCATTCTTGTTCCATTCTGTTTTGATGCAGGCATCTTTTGTTGGTGCGATGGCTATTGCGGATCTGGTTAAGACCACTTTGGGGCCCAAGGGAATGGTAATCTTCTGGACATTTTTCACTTCCACCCCCCCCTGCCAAAAAAAAAAAAAAATAAAAAAATCTAGGAGCATAACTATTTAGGAACCAGAGATATGAACAAGTTTATGAGCAATTGAGCATTAGGCATCCAGGGCATGGCCACTTTGGGGACCAAGCGAACGGTAATCTTCTGGACATTTTTCACTTCCATCACCCCTCCCCAAAAAAAAACCTAGGAGCATAACCATTTAGGAACTAGAGATATGACCAAGTTTACGAGCAATTGAGCATTAGGCATCCATGGCATAGATGTTTCTTCTGTTTTTGGCATTCAATATCCTTTTTTACTATTTTATTTATTCCCAATTCACTGGCATACTGTATTTTTCATGTTATTCAATTTTTCTTATGCAGGATAAAATATTACAATCCTCTGGAAGAGGTTTTAATGTTACTGTTACCAATGATGGCGCGACCATTTTGAAATCCCTACATATAGACAACCCTGCTGCTAAAGTTCTAGTTGGTATCCTTCTTTCTAGTAAGACTCCGAGTAATGTTTGAAGAATCTTGTTTTTTTTTTTTTAAAATAAAATTTTTAATTTGTTCTTTCTTGACCAGTACAAACAGAAAATCTCTTTGGTCATGACTAAGTTGTATATGCTATTTGTTGAGCTATATTTTTTCCTATTTGAGTTCAAACCTAAATGTTAGTTTCCCTTAGTTTAGGTCTATTGTTAGGTTTGCACTTAGTTCCAGGAATTTCTTTTTAGTAGGTTGTTTTATTTTAGGTTTCATTAAATGTTTCCATGAGAGAGAGATAGAGTTTATTTTTTGTTTCCTTATAAGGTTAGGATTATTTGGTCTTTTATATCTTGGTTTTTGTAGGGAGGAAGATATGTTTATTAATCTAATTAGTAGTCTTTTATTAAATACTAGAAGGAGAAACAAACAAAACAATATGGGCCTTTTACATATACATCGTGCGAAGGAACAATTTTTATCAGCTGGATCAAAGGAAGAAACTTCATAGGAGCCGAGATATGAAGACATTGATATGGCTTATATACTGATTTCTATGGATAAAAAATCCCAATGTTTGAGAAAGCACTATAAAGATCAATGATTGAGGTTTCGGGCTGATACAACAAGACTTGCTAACTCATGTATAGATATGAAATATAAAGTTAGGAATCAACTTACTTAATAGAGTCGATCCACTAAGGTGGTGATTAGTGGTGTAGCATCAGTCCTTTCTTATGAAGAAAGATATTTTTCAAATATTTTCATATATGATGCGCATGTTATTGACTTGTAGCGGGTTATACAATTGTTATTCTTACCACTTTCTTCCCTATACTCAGTGCCTTGTCTTAATATTTGCTTGTTGTTTCATAGCTTATGTAATTACCCTGACAATGGATATTCCATGGTATTATTTCTTTTTCTTGATCAGTTTTATTTCGTGGTATTTTGAATTCTTTGCATTGTGCCATTAGTCATGTGCCTTTGTATCCTGCCTTTGGTCTTCCTTAATTGTTGCCCCAGATATTTCTAAAGTTCAAGATGATGAAGTTGGTGATGGGACAACTTCTGTGGTTGTATTGGCTGGAGAACTTTTGAGGGAGGCAGAAAAATTGATTATGTTAAAAATTCACCCAATGACGATTATTTCAGGTTAGTTCGAGTTCCTTTAATATTAATCACAGGGGCCTGACATATTTAGGTCTTCTAAAGTTTAATGTGTGTATAGATTTTTTTTTTTCTGGTTTGAGGTTTGGCTGAGCTACTTTAATATTAGTTGCTGGTGCTGATTATATCTTGTTTTAAAGTTATTCATGGATATGCATAACAGTTGTTTAAGTTTTAAATTCTGTTGGAGAACTACCATTTTTGAAAGTTGTTGGTTCATGAAATTTGCATAATGAATTGATTTGATTAGTGTTATTAACGAATGTTTGGCCTTTATGTGCTCTGATTTTGATTTGATCTGCATTGATTTGTGACCCAGAGATGGCACCGATCAACAATTCAAGGCACTGAAGAGTTCTATGTCATTTACTCTGCAGTAACTTTTGCATATCTATATAGTGTGATATGTTAACAATTCTGGAAATGTTCTGCGGTGGGATTGTTAAATCTAATAACTGGAATTGCTTCAGAGAAACTTTGCTTTTTCAAAATGGTTTCTCTGGAAATATGTATTATGTCTTGGTGTTAGTTGTTATTATTTTATTGATTTTGATAAGCTGCTGCAATTTAGCTCAACTGGTTTTTGAAGTTGACCTTTCCAAAAGATAAACGTGTCACCTGGCTACCTTTGTTTGTTCACCATTTTGTTTTGGTGATGTGTGACTATGAATAGTTTGTGTTGACACTGTAGTACTAGTATTCGTTGATTTCTCTTGGGGGAGATGATTCTGAGCCATAGAGGCAGTATGGCGCATGACGGGGCAAAGGCATACAGCATGAAAATTTTGATTGAGTTGCAGCTTTAGAATCTTGCAGTGTCTGCGGCTCAAGGGACTCAAGATAAAGCTGTTATGGTCTATGTATTCAGCTTTTCAAGAATCGTGCAAAATAACAAAAACTAGGGAAAATTGAGCCCAGAGCTGTGACCTTATTGGATATGAGTCGAGAAAAGAAGCCCGTAACACAGTGAACCTTTTCAATTTCCCAACATATTGCATAAAGTTTTTGGTGGCATTTATTTCTGCCAGAAGTATAAAACACTATAGTTATTTAAAGATATTGGAAAACATCCATTTTAGGGCATAGCTTTATTAATTCAAAGTTTGTTTGTACATCCGCTTGATTTGCATTTGCACTGTTGTACTTTAATAGATATTTGTTGGAATATGTATTAACTAGGAATTCAACAAATTAATATTCTAATTGGTTACTTGAGGATCGCTAGATTATATAGATTGAGCTTTCATTCATGACCTATTTGCAACCTTGATAAAAGTGGAAGAAGTAGTAAGCCATTTATGTGCACATCCATTGTAGTCTTCTACATTGTGGGATTCCAAGAAGTATCAAACATCTGTGCTAGGGCATTCGTAATTACTTAAAGATTGCGCAAAGTACAATCACTTACAATTTTTCTCAGACATACAGAATCTTGTATATTGAAACTTGTTGCGACTCCATTTTTATCCATTGGATGTAGACATGTGTTAAAATCTTCAGCAATGGTAATAGAGCATTTCAGCTGAGAAATGTTTGCCATGGATTATTTTAAGCACACACATTGGGAGGCATGGGAGTAGAAGTCTGAAGGACGTAGCCTGGAGTAGTTTGTTTGGTTATTTGGACCTAATTATCAAGTCTATAGTCTCAAATAGATTGAAAAGCTCTATGTTTGAATCCTCTTGAAGATCACGCTGGAAGTTAATGATCATGTTTTTTTAGTGTTAAAAGGTTGCAATTTACCAATTTGACATCTTTGCTTTGATTCTGGAAGGGAAAATGTAATTTTGATGGGGAATGATCACGTATATTCTATATACTATGTTATGGTGTATGAGATTTACTTGGTGTTCATTAATTTTTAACTAGAACTGCTTTTACCCTTTGGCCCTTTCTCCCCCCCCCTCCCCCTTTCTCTCTCTCCCATTTTCACCACTCTCTCCACTATCTCATGGCGAAGTACTGGAGTGCATGCTATGAGTCAGAAATTTCTCAAAAGACAGAAAACCTATCTCACAATCCATATTAAGAAACAAGCGCCTGATCAATATTTTAACAAAAGATGAAAACGGAAGCCAACCCTCTAGAACCAGAGCATTCATTTATTGCAAAAGAGAGATAACATGATAAAACTCATGGTACGAGGGTTCAAAGTGTAGAATTTGGGTTCATGACTCCTAAGAAAGCAGCCCTTGAAAACCGTGTAACATAGGATAACTCTCATTCTTACAATGAGTTTGGTGGGGAGGGGGTGGGGGGGTGGGGGGGGGTGACATTTGCTCAATGACCAGTGGGAACAAGATGCTAAAGGGGCAGCCTTCACTGACTGAATGAGGTGTCTCATTTGCGCTTCTCCTTCTCTAGCTCTGCTGGTGGATGACGGAGATCAATATCAATTGAGAGTACCACTTTTGAAGGAGATGGGTGCTGGAGGAGTTGGAAAAGCTGATTTTTTCTCTAGTTTTTAGTTGCGGTGCTCCCTGTTTCCGTACCGGCCTAACAGGATTAGAGAAATGGAGCTCTCTTCCTTTGGGGTTTTATGAGTGACGATCTTCTCTTTCTCTCTAGATGTGCTGTCTTTCCTTTTCTCTACATTGCCAGTTGTTTGTGCTTATTTCGAGAGAGAGAGAGGAAAAAACTGGGGTTATGAAGGCGGGGAGAGAGGCACGAAGATACTAAAGAGAAATTCCAGTGAGTGCAACAAGATACAGATTGGGACTTTGAGAGAGAGAGAGAGAGAGAGAGAGAGAGAGAGAGTAGGGGCTTATGGTGACAGTAAAAACTTATTTCTTATAAACAAGGGTGAAAGGGACTCTTTACGCTGTAACACGGTGTATTTAAAATACATGATCATAACCCACTTTTGTTTTGATGAAAGAGGACTTTTTATTCTTATAACGTAAAGTAAGGTCCTAATTGGATGTGCATATTAGTATCAAACAAAGCGGGGGTTTATATGTGCAGGTTGTTTGGTGTTAAGATATTTGCCACCGATAAAGTGTTGCACCAATTTTTGTGCCCAAAAAGGGATATATCAGGGATGGTGTTATCTTTCATAAAAGTGTTTTGCCTCCATTGCTATTAAGCCCACCTTGTGCATCCAGACAGGGCCTAGTAAAACTATTGTACTACAGCCATTTGACACCTCTAAGAGCCCATTGGGCTTATAGAAAGAAAGAGAACATTTCAGGCACACCACTCCTTCCTTGTAAACCATCTCATTAGCAATGAGATAGGAAAGTTGCAACCTTGGAAGTCATTTTCACTTAAAGAGTCTTTGAACTTGTATTTGGTTTGATGGACTTCTTAGTGAGACATTAGAAGTGATAATTCACTTAATCAAGTGCAAGTTTCTGTGCTTAGGCTTCCATTTTGTGATTCCTAGTGTGACCTTTATAAGGATCAGATCGTCATCTGAGCTTTCATAAGCTAAGTCATTGATGATCTTCATCGACAATGCTCGTCTTTGAAAGGATGCCAATTTCTTTGTTAAAAAAAATTATAGATGGAACTGCACCCAAGGGCAAAATAAATAGATAAATGGAGAGGAATGGAGGGAACGAACTGACTTCTACTTCCCTATAAGCAGAAGAGGCCATCTTCTGATAACCTCTCATATGGAACATTTTGTCAATTGGAAGCTCACAATTGGTGAACCTCCATGTACTTCTATTGGAAACAATGTTCCCCGGTTGTCAAACTTCACTAAAGAGGAGCCTAAATGAAAGGCCAAAGGCCTAAACCCATTTTCCTCCCCCCTATATGAGTCGACATTCCCATCATCCTGTGATGCCTTTCTATATTGCATCTGGCATAACTAGGGCATGACCCTTTTAAGGTGTTACATTAAATAAGAATCCCCTGGTCTATTTGGTAAAAATGCATACCTTAGTTCTCTAGGAAGATACCCCACACAGGGGTAAGTTGCACTCAGACTGTCACCTGCTCCCTTGATGTGATTACACTGTCACTGTTGTATTCATGGGTTTCCTGTGTAGGCCATTTTGCCCTTGTAACTTGACACCATGTGCCACTCCTAAAATGTGCCATGTCCAAGACCTGACCTTCCCTTGCTTTTACTGTCCCTACTTGCCAAAAAGCAGACTTTTTGGTTTGCCTGGGACACCTGTCTCCTGCAGTTTTAATTGAAGTAGACTGATGGCTTGAGAACAAACTGCACTTTTATATTTTACTTTTTAAGCTCATCTACTTTTCATTAGAAAAATGTGGAAGGAAAATATTTCATCCGTTCTTGTCAACATTCTGGGCATGTTGATAGTTGTGATTCAATGCTCTTGGATTTGACAGTTCTTTCAGATTGAGGAAATGAATTGCAGAAATCGTGTGACTCTTGCATGATAGTTTAATTCTCCGTGGACTTACAGCATGAGAACTGATGTATGACTGCTGGAAGGGTTATGTATATTTGTGCTGGATATCTTCTTTGTGCTATGACCTGTCCTTGTCGCAAAAAAAAAATGTAGAAGGGAATATTTGATCCATACGTGGCTCATTGGTAGGTGCAATTTAATGCAATCGGCTTTGCTTCATTTGACAATTATGGTTTTCTTAAAAGATTGGAAAATAAATAACAGAAACGATGTGACTGTTCGATGATATGCATGGTATATCAGAATTGCATGATATGGAGTTGTAATGGAGTTCCTATTCTTGGTACATTTTAGTTCTCCATATTACAATTTACTATTGACTATGGCCAATGGTCATAACTCTTTTTTAACCAGTTATTGGCGGGCGTAGTTCAAGATAAAGCTATGTTGTTTATATTCTTGGTATAATTAAAGTCTCCATCTTCATCATTGTTTCAAAAAACGCCGGGCGGTGCCCGGCGGCCGGGGGTTTCTAGGCTTCAAAAGGGTACAAGAGGTGTCCAAAAATCTTGTTATAGGTCTAGAGTTTGTATAAAAAATGCATATTCATTTATTTTTTATAATCCAAACAAAAAACAAAAACATGAAAAATACCTCACCCAATAGGTATTGTTTCACCTAGGCGGGGGCAGTTCCTTGGGAGCTCTCACCTAGGCGGGATACTAGTCGGGCGCCTAGGGACAACCTGCCTAGTTGGTCTGCCCAGGCTTGGGCAATCTGGCCAGGCCCCCCTAGGCACCGGGCAGACTGCTTTTTGAATCATTGATCTTCATTTGATAAGAATGTATTAAATGAGCCAATGGGCCTTCAAAATACTCTTGGATCTAATATCTATGTGCGCCATTATCCTTATCTCCACATTTGTATACAGCACGAACTATTTGGAGCTCTAGGTAGCACGCAACAAATCCATGCAAACATCTGTTTGCTGTGCGTCAGAAGTTTTCAAAAGTTTTGCATCATTTGGTAGGGCCATTTAGTTTGTGAAATGGATATCTTTCTCTATTTTGTTTTGCCTGTGAGTTTGCAGTATAATTGCAATCTAGAGATTTCAGCTTGTAATATTTGGTAACTTAAACTTGGAAAAGCTGGCCAAAAATATTTAATCAGATGCTGGCATTTCCAATCCCTATGCTTAAGGTGTTACCCATTCTCCTGTTGCTTGAGGGCAAATAGATTTTTACTTCTTATATTGATTAAGGCAGGTTTATCTTGTTGTTTCTTGAAGAACTCCTTCACATTGTAGATTATTTTCTTTCCCAGTGGTCTAAGATGGTTATTGTTTCCTTGCTTGTTTAGTGGAATATCAGTACATTTGGTAGTCTCTGTTGTACTTTCAAATTTGTAAATGACATTTGATTTCCTTTGCGTGTTTTTTCTTTATCTTTAAAATCATAGGTTATAGGATGGCTGCAGAGTGTGCTCGCAACGCTTTATTACAGAAGGTCAAAAATAACATTGATGATCCAGGTAGCTATTTATCATTGGAATGGAGACCATGTTTATATTCCTTCTATTGATATCGTGATAAATGTCAAACATTTCCCCTTCAATGTTATGCGCATGTTCCTGCAATTTTTCTTCTAGGGCATTCTTTTATTTCCGTTTCTGATTGTTTTTGTAGAGTTCCCTGGCTAAACTCCCTCCACAGTAGAAGTTTCCTCCATGAGTCCATGTTAGTCAAGATAGGCAAAATATAATTAATTATATCTCCATGTTAGACACAAGTTAAATGAAATATAGCTTATATAATGTAGAAGAAGCATCCTGCTAGCACTCTGCCTTAATTTGATGCTATGGTGTGCATGATCTTCAGTTTCCTAATTAAGAACTATTCCTAATAGCAAGTCATGGTAATATTGTAGTATTAGACACACACAACAATTGAATGTGTGGAATGCCCTTACAGGCAAAAACATAATGATGTTTACCTGTGTAGAGCTATAATTCTGTCTTATTTTAAAATACTACAACAATATACTTCTTTTATATGTACAATTTCTACATCAGAAGAGATGAGGTTCCATTTGGAAGTCCCCCTTCACAGGACCCTCTCCACCTGTCTTGACTGCTTAACTTTAGCTTTTACCTGACTTTCTATTGCATTGTTTTTTTCTGAAATGATTAACTTTGTATTTATAGTATACATACATCAAGAGGAAGCAAAAGATGGCATCCCACATTTTGGGTGCTCAGACTATAATATATACAATATTTATATCTCATTGTTAAGATCAATATTTATTCAATGTGATGTTTGTAATTTGACATTGTGTTTGTTTGAAGTTCTGTTTGCGCTAACAGAATTTATACTGTCTTCTGGGTTGTATTTCAGAGAAGTTCCGATCAGACTTAATGAAGATTGCGATGACGACTTTGAGTTCAAAAATTCTCTCCCAGGACAAGGAACACTTTGCTAAATTAGCAGTGGATGCGGTTATGAGGCTTAAGGTATGGGAATAAGCTTGTGTTAGAGATACTCAACCTCAAGTGGATGCCTATAATATTTATATTACGTGTTTGGTTTCATTTATAAATTACTGAGTTCTCCAAACCGACGTGTTGATCCCGCTTTCAGATCTCGCTCATGCTCCCTGATAGGAATCTCCCTGGGATCTGAATCCCAACTTTTTGAGATCTCAATCCCCACTTTTTGGGGATCACTCCTAGGGCAACAAGAGGCCAAGAAGATTATGTGGATCTTAATTGCGATCATAATATATCTCTCTAATTCTTTTGGATATTGTAAAGCGTAAAATTGCAAATAAAGTAGCTTGTTATGTTTTTGGATGTCATAAAGTGTGAAATTATAAATAAAGCAGATTTTTATCTATAAGAAATGACTCCATTGAATAGTTATTGGTTATTCCGATGTGCCTCATGATAATATTTTTTTATTTGTATTTTGTGGAATTGTTGTTACATAAACTATGTCTCAAATGAATATATAATAATACTTTTTATTGCCCTTTCTTGTGCCCCCTTTTTATGGTATTTTGTGGGTTTATTATTTTTTATCTTTAATAAAATTTTATAATTTCTAATTATTTATTTATAATTTCCAAGTTCATGTCAGCAAATTGCTTAACAATTAGTGCTGGTGACCTTGTGATGGATCCTCTATTTAAAAGGACCGAATACTGTACTTTGTACGATTATGATATTTGGGTAATTTAACCTATCATCAATGCTTCCAGGGGTGGTAGAGTTGAGTAACTGTTCCTGCCAAAAAGACTGGTTATAAAAATGGGGAACAACTCATCACCCACGCTCTATAGATAGACCTGGAGGGTGGATATTGGGTCTGGGTACTCTATTTTATATACAGACTGGTTTGGAATATTTTTGCTTCTTTAAAATAGTAATGTGAGAACATTTTGTGAATGACTGGACCTCAGTCTCTCCTTACCTCTACATAATTATATGGGAATAAGGTGAACCTGGGTGTAGTGCTGGGTTATGTGTGCTACCATGTTCCGTGGAACCCCTCCCCTCACTCTCTACTATATCTCATTCGAAACTTCTATTTAATTTCTCTCTCTGATTTCCCTTTGCTGCTTGCCATGTGAATTACTGATGTTGGAAAAAAACTGAAGGAGAATAGAAAGCAACAGTAATTTAGGCCCAAACACACACAACAAGTTCTCTAGAGTTCCTTCCTCAAACCCCAATAAGGGAGCAAAAGCTTCCTTTTCCTCATTCCTCTTTTCTTTTAAGACAATCCCATGGAAGGATGACTCGAGGGCCCCAAGCACCTCTTAAATGATGATGTTGATGATGATGATGATCATCATCATCATCATCATCATCCGAGCCTTATGCTAACTATTTGGGGTTGTCTAGTTTATCAAAAAAAAACTATTTGGGGTCGTCTACACTAATCCTGTTGCCATTCTGTTTTATCAAGGGCCATACCCTTAGTCAGACTATGAGTCACGATATCTTTTCTCACTACTTCCATGTGTATCTTTTTGGGCCTTCGCCTCTTTTAGAGCCTTCCACTCGAACAAATTGCCCCTCCTAACCAGTGTTGTTCTAGGTCAACACTTCACATGGCTAGACCACCTAGGTCTACTTTTCTTCATTTTATTGCTTATTGGAGTGACCATTAAGTTCCTTCGAATATATTTATTTTGAATTATATTCTTTCATATCTTACCACTCATCCATCTCAACGTCCGTTTCTCAGCTACACTCATTCTATGAATATGTTGTTTCTTGACCGCTCAACATTCCATATCATAAAAACATAACTGATCTTATAACTGTCCTATAGAATTTTTCCTTCATGTTTTAAGATGCGGGATGTGGTCCCAATGTGGTTTAGATGCGGGGGCATCACCCCGATGTTGTCAAGAAATATAAAAAATTCTAAAATCTTAAAAAAATTGGTTAATGCATGGAAAAAATATGGAAGTGATTTATGTGATAATAGGTATAACTTCAATATTATCAGTTGTCAGAGACTTGAATCCCTTGCTAGTAGACATTAGAAAGTAGAAACTAGAAACTTAAGTATCTTTATATAAGACATTAGAAGACATCAATATTATCATAATTCGTAAACATCCAAAAACCATAATTGCAATTGCAAACTTTAAAGTTGCAAACTCCAAAGATACATACAACCACAAAAAGTCTATGAAGAGTTCAAGAGTCACGACAAAACATAGAAGACTAACATTATTTCAAAAAAAACATAGAAGACAATAGAAATCAAAAGATAATCTTATCAACCATCAACTCTCAAGTATCCGAGTGCGAGGATATATAGGCATCATCATCATCAACATCGTCCTCAGTGGCCTCCAATATACTACGTCTACCTTGTTCTTCTCTGAGTTGTCCTCCTTCTCGACCTTTGATACTGATATGCGACTGGACCCAACTTTTCTCTTTTGTGTTCTAGTGTTAGGCCATACTCCTTCACAATCCTGCTACTTGAAGATTGTGAAGACATTGCCAAAAAAAAAAAGTGTTAGGAAATGAAAACTTATCAACTAATCGAAAAAAATTTCGATATCTTCTCGGCCTTGAAACCCTCGATGTTGACAAATCCATTCTTAAAATGACGCCCAAGCTAATCCCAATCGACAACCCAACCAACAAGGAAAGCAATCCGATGATTTTGTGCGATGGCCAAAATTCTTTTTTCTCCTTACCGAGCTATCGTGGCTGTATTTTCGGTTTGGGGGGGTCTAGTACCCCCCAAAACACTTATCCCCCTTTTTAGGGACGAAAATGACCAAATTGCTGACACTCGTGGGCATTATTTTCACCCATGAGCGTGGGAACACTATGTGGGCGCATAGCACTATGCGCCCGCATATGCACCTAGCAGCGCATATGTGCATATGCGGGCGCATCCCTACAAAGCGCATATGCGTCCAGAAGCGATGTGCCTCAAGCCACATAGCGCATGATGCAGCAACATTTTAAAACAAGCTTTCCCTTCAGTTTCATTGTTATGCGACGATCACACAAGACTTCAGAAGCACATCTCTACTTCATCTGCCCAGCTTTAATTCTATCCGTGACAATTTCCTTAATCTCTCCATTCTCATGGTTTATCGATCCAAGATATAAAAAATAATCTCTTTTAGGTACTTCTTGGTCATCAATTTTAACTAATTCCTCGTTTCTACTCCTAGTGTTACTAAATTTGCATTCCATATATTTGTCGTCTTACTAATTTAAAAACTTTTTGGTTCTAGAGCGTACTTCCAAAGTTCTAACTTTGCATGATGCCGTCTCTAGTCTCATCAATCAAAGCTAAAGTTAGACGCCGTCGTTAGTCTCATCAATCAAAGCTATGTTATCCATAAAAATCATACACCACGGTACCTCATCCTATAGATGCCTAGTTAACTCATCGTATTATTCTATACGTCTCTTTTGTTCTTGTTAATAGTAGAGAATGCTGAAAATATTTTTTTATTTAAATAAATGGAGAGCAATACTTATCATTCAGATCTGAGCATAGCCCACTTTTTCACACTTGAACAAACTAGGGCAACACCACATTATCCAATTTTGAGCATCATCACACTGCCACTTTTTTGAGTAGACTAGGGCAACACTATCCACACAAAAAATTAGGTTTTTTGGGAGAAAGTTTCGGCAAATCATCTACAATTGCCCACAAACCTCAAAAGTAGGCAACAATACACAAAAAAAAAGAAGGAAAATTAGAAAACGACTCTGGGGTTTAGATCAAACAACCCTAGGAAGTGTTCCCCTTTTTTTTGTTAGGGTAGAGAAGAAAATCAAGAGGAGAAGATTAAAAGGGATGAAATATTTTAGGATATAAAAGAAAACCAAGAAGGAAGAAAAGGATCATTGCTCTGATACCATGTCAGAGAAGGGAGAGAGATGCAAGGAAAGAGGGAGAGGAAGGGAGAGTGATGTGAGAATTTCAATTGGGTCTCAGTCTCACACACCTCCACACCACTTTTATATTAATAAAAAGTCAGTGAAAGGGAAAAATTGCCCATACAAACTGAAATAGGACATATAGGTCCTATTATCTTAAAGTAAAAGGGATATAAGAATTAGAAAAAATGACTTTTAATAGTTCTTAAATATGAAATGAAAAATATTGGAATTTTTGTTAAAATGGGATCCTTTGTGAATGTAGTGTACGAGGCTGAGTTCCAATTGAGTCTCAGTCTCACGCATCTCCACACCACTTTTATATTAATAAAAAGTTAGTGAAAGGGAAAAATTACCCATACAAACTGAAATAGGATGTATAGGTCCTATTAACTTAAAATAAAAGGGATATAAGAATTAGAAAAATGATTTTTAATAGGTCTTAAATATGAAAAGAAAAATATCGGAATTTTTGTTAAAATGGGATCCTTTGTGAATGTTGTGTACTAGGCTGTATTCTATTCCAATTTTCAAGCACCTGAAGTGAAGTCTGCCTATTGATGGGGATAGAAAGCTGGAGAGGGAATGAGCAGGAGTGCAATATCAGTATTTAAGAGGATTCACGTGGGAGAATTGCTTGAAATGAGATTCAGGAATAGGAGCAGGATTCAGGTTTTGCAACTTGAATGCTGCCTTAAGTACAAGCCAAGATTAAAAGATGGACTTGGCTCGAGAGTGTACATTGTCCCAACCCCGGTAGATTTTGGCGAGACTTCAGCCAAGTCTCATCCAAAAACAATATGAAATTATGGAAATGGCTGAGTGAGTGGACCGGCAATGTTTGAACACATAAGATTCCTGCGATTAACCACATTGGGAAAAAGAGTGTTCTTTATGGTAATTTTTCGTGCTGATTCTCAAATGCATTTGTTTGACTTACATTAACGTTCTCTGAATATGAAAGTATTTGGTTGTTTTTGTTGCACTATGTGGTGGAAATATGGATATGTGGTGGAAATGTCCAAATTCTTTGTTGCTAAATGTGTCAAGTTTGTTGTCGAATTCTGCAACAATACAATTCAATATGCTAACTGACCTGTTGGACCTCAATCTTTGAACAATTATTTGAGATTTGTATACATGTAGATTTCCTTATACAAGCAAGCATTTGGAAGCTCGGGTTCCATGTTTGGTTGTTATATCAATTGTTATGTTGATGCTTTTTGATGCTTCATATTGTTTGTAATTTGCTTAAATCATTCTTTGATACAGGGTAGTACAAACTTAGAGTCCATTCAAATTATCAAGAAAGCTGGTGGGTCTTTGAAGGATTCATTTCTTGATGAAGGGTGAGTGTGCCATTTGCTATTTGGCAGTACTTCCATTTGGAAAAAAAATCATAGATTTTTCACTGAATGATATTTAGAAGGTTATGCATTACATTCGTCTGTGTTCTCTGTGGAACTGTGAATTTTATGATGTTTTATCTCGTTGTTTCTTTTTTTTGTTTTTTTTTGAGAGAGTTAACAATGTTTTATCTCGTTGTTTCTTGTCCATCCCTCTTGCCTTAAAGAGTTATAGGGATCCTAATAACTGAAACCAACAAAGGTGACCTATCTATGATCATTACTTGATTCCTGCTTTATACTACATATTTTTTTCTCATTCGTAAAATTCTGGTATTTTTAAAGAAAAACTCAAAAAGGGCATGTTCCAGGCCCTTTAGAGTCACTAAAGGTGTGTTAGCGTCTGATCAGTTTTAAGTTAAAACTATGAAAACAATGTTTGGGTGTAGATCTAAAATTTGATGATGCCAAAGTCGTGAGGATTTCTTAAATCTATGCTTCATTCATCACAAGTGTCTGAGCTTAGGAGACCATTAGATCATTCATTGTTCAGAGGTTTTACGTATTCCCCTACATCAAGTCTTGCCAAGAACCCCCAAGTCCCCAACTTATCAGAACCTGTAAATAAAAGTCATTTAATTTTATGTATATATATATGTCCACATTGTGGACCTCTGTTATTATAAGCGAAATTAAAAAAGTTTCAAACTAGTTTCTTATTCCTACTGCAAGAGAGTGATTAGAGAGGAATATGTTTGCTTTTACGTGAAGTCCATATATTTCTTACATTTTCAACTTTTGTGTTAAAAACTCAGTATTGCAGTTTTAAGTTTCATATGAAAGTAAATCACATAACTCTGATTCGAGACTTCAGATCACATTCATGTTTTGAAACTCTCCATAATAATTAGTTTAGGTTGTGTTAAACTGGTCTTAGTCTTCGTTATTATCACCATTCCTTAGCGACAATTCCAAGATCAATGTTCTAATTACTACTTCCTTATTGGGAATAGTCCAACATTTAGCCTTTTTAGCATTTAAAACTGGATCAGGTTTTGGTAAGTCCGCTGACTCACCTATTCTTATGCGTCCCCCCTTCAAAATTCATCTTAAAGCTAGAGTTGGATCCAAGGTTTTAGGGATCAATAATCTTGACCATAAGGATCATGAATATGGAAAAATAAATATTTTTTAAAATTTAAACGTGATTTTATCCTTTTTTACACAAATTCGAATTTTGATTGGGTCCCTTTTTCTGAATCCATCATAAAGATGAGCGTTTGATGGTTAGGGGTGTCCCCTGGCTCGCCAACTGATATCCCTTTTAACACTTCATGAATAGTTTTTGTTTTCTATAATCAAATTTATTCGGATGGTGAAATATGGGTGTTAATGTTTATGGCTTTTATTTGTTAAAAAAAAAGAATATTAACTGAATTTTATTGAAGTCAAAACTGGATGTACAAGTATAATCCATGCAAAAACAATGAGCCCTAGATAAATGTGCCTCTACAAGAAGTAATTGGAAATAATCAAAGAAGCTTTATGAACCCCCTTAGCAGCCAAGGAATCAGCAAGCTTGTTAGCCTCACACTATGAGTGCCGGACGGCTATTGACAATGTCAAACTCTTCATCAAAGACATTAGTATGCTTCTATGTATAATATCAAAGGCTGGTGGCCCATGTGATTATTTTATGTGAATTCCTGTCAATAAGAATATCGTTCCCATGTTTGATCCAAACAACACAGCATTGTGAGGAGAGGATTGGCCTAGGCTGCATTGGGTTTAAGTGGTGGGAGGAGTCCTGAGATTCTTTTGAAAACTACCAAGATGGTCTCCGAAGACACCACCAACACCAACATTGCCCTGCTTAGCGTTAACACTCCCATCGAAGTTAGCGCCAAGCAGCTGCTCACGGCAAGTAATACTTGGTTGAGAGACTTGCGGATGTCACCTGTGTGGTGGTCCGCTAGGCTGACATGGAGCAGGTGGCATGAGCAGACACCAAAAGATCTGAACCTGTAATAAAACGAGGTTTCACCTTATCAACTGATTAACTGTCTTTTTTACCCTGTATAGTGTGCTTTTTCAAGCTTTTTTTTGGTACGTGAACTCAAAACTGGCCCTATCGCATAGGCTTCCAATATATGTTTGTCAACATAAGGCTTTCATTATATGTTGAAAACATTTACAGTACTAGAGCTAAACATTCAGCAATTCAAATTTTTTTTTCTCTCTTTTTCCCCCTTTATTATTTCTTTGTTTTTTCTTTCTTTTCCCCCCTTCCTTATTTCACCTTTTCATTCTCTTTTTATTTCTTCTTTTTCCATTTTTCCTTTTTTTTGTCGGCAATTTTTTTTTTATTTCCTTTTGGAATTGCTAGATGGTTTCTTTTTTGCCCCATATACTGGATGTTTATGACTTCTATTTATACTTCTATCAGAGGGAATCCTGATCATCTTGTGATGGTTGGGCAGCAGAACTTTTAACTTAGTGCAGATGTTATTGTATTTTCTCTTATGTCATTTATTTTTCATGTCTTTTAATTATGTAAAGAATACTGAAGTCTACCGCTGGAATGGTCAAGGAATGGAAGTGCTTTTCTTTCCTTGGCCGATTTGGGCTTTGAGCAAATCTAACAACATTAATGCATAGATTAGTTTTAGCTCATCATCTCTAGGGATTGTAAAAAAGTTGAAGACCGTATCAATTGCTGTATTGCAAGGCAAATTAGTTTTAGTTGAGTCTGAGATTTAGAAAGTTGGTTCAGTTTGTTTACCGGTTGTATTTTGATATCTCTCCATCCATGTAGTTATTGAGCGATGTTCCAGAGGTTTTGCTTAATTTAAAGGGAAAGCTTTCTATGTCCCCTACAACATAGAAGTTCTATCCTCCCCTTTATCCAACCGTCCAATTTTGAAAGGAGGGCTAACATTGCCCCAATCACAATGTCACGTCTCCACACTGTTTTATTTTTAATTTTTGTTCTATAAACTATTTTGACACCAAATTTTGGACGTCCATTCTTCTATTAAACTCGCACTCACAATAAATATAAAAAAAATAATTTCAATAAAATAAAATGACCAAAATACCCCTGAAAGTTTCAAGGGGTATTTTGGTCATTATTTTTTATCAAAAAAATATTGTTTATATTTTTTATAGGTGCGCCCCAATGAGAAGATGGCACGTACCAAATTTTATATTCAGAAAAATTGTATTAAAAAAACTAGAAATAAAATACTTTCAGACATCGGATCTAAGATCAAACGGTGAGTGACTCTCTTGATTAAAAATGGACGGCTGGATGGTAGGGGGAGGATAGAACTTCTATGTTGTAGGGGGAACATAGAAAGCTTTCCCTAATTTAAATGCAATAGCTAGTTGCCATTTGTGGACATGCTGTTTCAATCGTATAGCTTTTCTTGCTTTGATTCCTTGTTGCATGTTGTTTATGGAATCTCTGCATTTTTATTTTGTGAATAACCTTAAAATGTCCGCAAAATTTGGGCATTGAATTTTCTAAGAGATGCAATCAGTATGGGACACATACAAAAGAAGTTCAAAAGTTATCCTTCAGTTTTAAGGATTACTGCATTAGCATGGGAATCTGATTGTACATTGGCCTCTCTACATGCCTGAAAGATATCGGCACCTAGTCACTAGTGAGAGAAGCTAGAGATACACTTTAGAGGCTCACCTAGATAGTTTTTTACTTCAGTTTTTGTAGTCTACTGAAGTGAAGATGTCCTTAAGAATCCTTGACAATTCCTAGAGATGATGCGCACACCTGAAGGGCTATATCAATAAATTCATTTCAGAAAAACAAAAAAAATATCACAATGGTATGAATCGGATAAGACATATCTCCTGATATTCCTAGAGGAAATTTGTCTCTTAATCAGGATGCCATTGCTGCTGGATTGTCTGTATGTATGAATTTCCCTATTTCTTAAGGGAAGTATAAGAATAGAGCCTTATGTTACTATTACTAAAAATGGGTACTGACATTCATATAGTGCAAAAATATAATAGAGAGCTTGGAGGCGGAAATCAAGAGAAGGGATTAACTAAAGTTATGAACATAAAAAATATAAAAAAAAAAGAATAAAATCAAATAGCGCATAATTCATCTGTAAAGCTTAATAGTAATGCAAGGACATGACTGGAAAAAGGCAGTGGCTTTGGTGGTTGTGGTAATGAGAGGTAGTGCCTGGGACTGATCTCTGTGTGTCTGAGTAATAAATGTCCTCAGGAAAACCCCACTTTCCATTTGGTAATGCAGGTTGTGCATCATGTGCACAGCTCGCTTACAACTTCCTTCAACCTTTAGAAGATATATCATCACCAACTGTCTTGATTGTATTCTTCTTGGAAACCTTCTGTTTTTTGCCTTTTCCTTTGTTTCTCTCTCTCTATCTCTATTTTATTTTATTTTGTGTATTTTTTATGTGTAAGAAACTGTTGGTCATTCTCCTATCTATTGAGTTGCTTAGAACAATGAATGCAATGAACAATTTCTTTAGTGAATGGATAATAATCAGAAGCCAAACAGAAAAAATGGTTGATTATATTCCGTTTCATATGGGCTAGGATCTTAATAATCTTTTTCTAATCTGTCTATGCAGATTTATCCTTGATAAGAAAATTGGTGTTGGTCAGCCAAAGCGTATAGAAAATGCAAATATTTTGGTGGCAAATACCGCTATGGACACTGATAAAGTAAAAATTTATGGAGCTCGTGTCCGTGTTGATTCAATGGCAAGGGTCGCCCAGATTGAGGCTGCAGAAAAAGAGAAAATGAAAGACAAAGTGCAGAAGATTATTGCTCATGGGATTAATTGCTTTGTAAATAGACAGCTAATCTACAATTACCCAGAGGAACTCTTTGCTGATGCTGGCGTACTGGCCATTGAGCATGCCGATTTTGACGGCATTGAGCGGTTAGCGCTAGTGACTGGTGCAGAAATTGCGTCCACTTTTGACAATCCAGAGTCTGTGAAACTTGGCCATTGTAAGCTCATTGAAGAAATAATGATTGGTGAGGATAAACTGATTCATTTCTCTGGCGTCGAAATGGGTCAGGCATGTACCATTGTCTTAAGAGGGGCAAGGTATTCTTCCTGCCCCCTGTCATATGCATTTCTTTTGCAGAATTTTATGCTTTATCTGTTTTGAATTTTGACTGTGAAAAATACATATTAGTTTTGGGTCAAAGGATCTAATCTGGTGAAATGGATTTTTCTGTAGCTGATGCTTATGTGCTATGCTAGTTATTCTGGTTTAGTGTTCCATATACTTCCTTGATTATTTTTTAAAAGTTCCTATAGCAGATATACTGTTTGGATTTGGATCTACTATCCATTTAGAGGGTTTAAATCCAAATTCCAAAATATATGAACTAATTAGTGTATCTGTTTGTTTTACCACTTGGTACTCTTACTTGTTTTGTTTCTTATTGTGCCAATTTTATGTTAGTTAGTGCAGGGATAATGCTCCTTTGAGTTGGTTTTTTCGTGTATATGTGCACAAAACTTGTACATGGATTTCAATGTTTCGTGGCATATTGATCTAGTGGTTTACTGTGCAATATTAATTGGCTATACTTTTCTTTCCTATCATTTGTCTTTCTTTCCCTTATTGTCTTCAAGAGAAAGATAACTTTTTTTTTGGATAAATGTTGACTTTTGTATTTCTATAGGAAGATAGAGTACAGTTTTGGGTTAAATCCGAGAGTACCCTCTAGACGGGACTCTCGTTAAAAAATAGGTCAGCAGACCCTGTACCAAAAAATGGGCTTATACGATTGCCCCCTTACAAAGTTTACAAGAAGTTGCAAAAAAAGGCTTATAAGAGTGCCCGTACACAGTTTACAAAAAAACCAAGAATGGTAAAAGAAAATATTAAGTACAAGAAGTTCAAGTTCAGGTTGAGTTCCACTGGTCCAGCGCAAAAAGAATGTGGACCCGGCTTGAGTGACCTGTCTCTGACTTCTAGCTCCCTCTTTCGCTAGATGGTTTGCGGTATCGTTGGACATCCTCCACGTATGCTGCCATGAGACTTCCATAGCCTTGCAAATGTGATGAACCTCGTCAAAAACTGGAGTCAGGTGCCATGGTGGATCGCTTGTTTTACTAGCCCAAGAGATGACATTTTTTGAGTCTCCTTCCACTATAAGATGTGAGCCCCAAGAGGGATTGAGATTTCTGAATGCTAAAAGGAGGGCTAAGGCCTCTGTTTGATGAGAGTCCTTTAGATTGGGGGGTATCCTTGAGACCAAGGTAACCCACTTTATGCCAAATAATTGCAACACACTGCCCCACAGGTCAAAGGAGAAGTCATAGAGTAGGAATAAGTGAGGGTTTTTTTCCTCCTCACATTCACACAGCACACCTATTAGGGATGGGGACCCCTCTCTTTTGTAGGTGCTCAACTATGAGGACCTTTTGAGAAAAAGCGAGCCAATTGAAGGTCTGCACTTTTGGTGGAGCAATAGTGGACCAAACTCTGGAATAAGAATCATGGGTAGTGGGCAAGAGGGTACGGCTTTTACAGAAAGAAGCTACAGAGAACTTACCCGAGGTGGACTAGTGTCCAAACTATATCATCTCTTTCTTGGGATAGGATAAAGAGGGAATGAAGGGTATTCAAGAGCTGCTGGAAGTCGGTGGTTTCCTCTTCGGTTAGGTTCCTTCGAAAAGAAGGATTCCAAACTCTACGACCTCCAGAGAGGCTTAATTCCTGAGCAATGGAGGAATCTTGGTCTCAGGCAAGAGAGAATAGAGTTGGAAAAGCCTCTCGCAGGGGGGGAAGGTCCTAACCATAGGTCTTGCGAAAATTTCACTCTCGAACCTTCTCTTGGATGGAATCTAATGTACCTCTTGAAAGTAGCTAGGACAGTTAAGAAGGACTTCCAAGCTCCTGAAGCATTATAGACTTGAGTTCTTTCTGTCAGCCAGGTATCCATAGGGACTTTATACTTATGCCCTTAGAACCTGTGCCCAAAGAGCGTTTGGCTGAGTGGCTAGGTGCCACCACCATTTCCCTAGCAATGCAAGTTTCTGTTTTTGAAGAACTTTGATTCCTAAGCCACCCTGATTTTTGGTTTGACGGACCTTGTCCCAAGCAACAAGGTGATATTTTCTCTTATCCGCCTCATGAGTTGATTAAACCGGTTTGCCACCTGAGCAGGCATATGGAAGAGCGACATGAGGTAGATCGGGGAGTTTGCTAGGGTAGCATTTATCAGGGTAGTTCTTCTTGCCAAAGAAAGGAATCTACCCTTCCATTCTGCCAGGCATCGATCTACCTTATCTAGGACATGGGATCATTGCCGCTTACTAGGCTTCCCCAAACCCAAAGGTAGGCCAAGATAGGTAGTAGGGAAATCTTGGACTTTGTAGTCCCAATCTGGAATGAGTGCTCTAATTTCAGCAGATGACAAGGCTACACCATGCATACTGGATTTTTCCATATTAACCTTGAACCTGGTTGCTGACTGGAAGCAGCTGAGGAATCTTTTGAGGGTTCTAACTTCAATACGGGTGACGTCTAGGAAAACCAAGGTATCGTCCGCGTATTGTAAGTGAGAAACTATAGGGCAGATGACAAGGCTACACCCTGCATACTGGATTTTTCCATATTAACCTTGAACCCGGTTGCTGATTGGAAGCAGCTGAGGAATCTTTTGAGGGTTCTAACTTCAATATGGGTGGTGTCCAGGAAAACCAAGGGTATCGTCCGCGTATTGTAAGTGAGAAACTATAGGGCCTTGCCTACTGGTTTTGAATCCTGAGAGGAGGCCTACCTGATAGCCACGAGAAATGGACCGACTGAATACTTCAGCCGCAATAGCATCAGAGGAATTGATAACGCGATTTCATTCAATATGTTATAGAATCAGAGGAATTGATAATAGTTTTATTTTCAACAGTGATTTGGTGCTGGGCCATATATTTAAGCTCTTGGAGTTCTCCATCTCGTCATGGTTTGTTCGAAAGTTTCCTAGGCCTGCTGTTTCCTAATATAGTATGGTGTAAGACGAATAATATCTCCCTTCCAAAGTTCAAGTGAAAAGTTCCTTTGAGATTTTTCAATCTTCTTGGAGCATGTTTTGATGGAAAGAATTCATTAGTGGTGGTGGTTGATGTTTATTGTGATTTGGAGGTGAAACACTTGATTTTTGGGTGCATTCGTTCGCTTTTTGCTGGTTCCTTCATATGTTTTCTTTTTTCATGATTGCTTTGATTTTGTAGCAGGGTTGATTGGGATATGCTTTAGAGAGGGACGTACATGAACATAGGTAGAGGTAATGCTTAAAAAACGATAAAGGACTAGGTAGATTACTGGAGGAAATTGATGATTTGTCTTTAATTTTAGAAACTGTGTGAATGCATGGAGGTGTGGTAGTCAGGCTGATTACTGCCATTCTATCAATATAATGTGTGTGCATGTCTTTGTGTTTGCCTATGGCAAATTCTGTTGCTGTTCATTGCTAAATGTTAGTCCCCTCGGCCTTCTATTTTATTGGAACTAGATATATGATGGAAGTTTTGTTAAACCGATTTTCTTTTGACTTTGTTTAGCCTGGAGCTATGATGGTGAACTGAATTATCTCTTGTTTAAACAGTGATAGGATATGATCCCTTTCTTCCTTTTTTCTGTAAGAATTGCTTACAAATTGTTATTAATATAAAGCACGAGTACAATGAAGAAGAGAATAGCATCAAAGAGATGCCAATGTGACATGTCATGATGTCAATGATCTAAGAAAGAAATTCCTCTATCAATGACAAATTCCCCAAGTAGGGTCCATTTCTTCCTTTGGGGCCTGTATTGATCCCCGGAAAATATTGGCTGGAAAAAAACTGTTTCTTGTGAAATATATTTATTGTGGAAAACATTTTCCCCAAAATATGTTCCTTCTTTTTGGATAGCATCTGGATGCAACCTTGAAGATACATTTTACCTGGAGAATGGGTGGGGTGCGAGGAATCTCTAGAGAGGGAAACTTGGTAGACATAGAGAGAGAATGCAGCCTGGAAAATGCATCTCTACCTAGAAAAGTGTTAAATGCAAGGGACACCTAGATTGGAAAACATGGTAGAGATATTGAAGAAGAAAATTGCTAGAGCAAGATGGAAGTAGAAAGACATTTCTATGCAGGGGAGAGAGAGAGAGAGGCGAGAACTAAGGATATAAGGATTTTTGAGAAGGAAAATTGTTTCACGCAGGCTGGACCGCATGACTACATATGCTGTCCAAAAAGAGTAAAGCATCCATCTTAAAGATGGATGCAAGTAGGTGTTCCATTTAAAAACAATGGAAACTAACGGTCCAAATGTTTTGTTACTAGAATTATTATTTCTAGTTTTTGAAGTGTACTTATTTTTTTATATTCATGATCTCCATGTTAGAATTACATTTTCAAATCCAAAAATCCATCTCAAAAATAGATTTATTAATAGGCCCACATTTCTACATATACGGGCATGGCTGCATAGAAACCGGGTCCTTTTGAGAAGGAAAAAGTTTATATAAGGTTGCAACCTTAAAATGTAGAACTACGGATGCACCTCAAAAGTCCATTGGAAAATATTATTTGAATGTTGAAAAACCCTCTAATTGAGCATCTCGACATCGAAATGTACGATTATGAAAGAAAAAAGGATTTTGAGTCCCAGAAATAGTGCGTCTTACAGCACATCATCTAGACCATCCATTTTTTAAATTTTCATATGTTTATAGATCTACTTGATTTTAACCATTTTTGGAGTTTAAA